CGCTTGAAGACCCACTTCTATTCGCTTGCCTTTAACATGGTGTGATTTGTTTTGGTCCGGTCTGTTCTCTACTCTGTTGGCCATTTTAGTTAGCTTCTGCTGCTATTTGTATCTGTATTTTTATTTTATGTTTTCCTGTCCGCTGTGCATGTTTGTTTTCTTTTGTACAGCACTTTGGTTGGCCTTGTTGCTGTTTTAAGTGCTCTATAAATAAATTGGTATGGTATGGTATGTTCCTGTTTTTAGTTTTCTACATTTGCCCGTTTTTTGTTACTTTTTTTCGGCCATCCTATTTGTTTAAAAAAAAATTAATAATTGTATGAATTTTTATAACTGTCTGTTGTTGTCGCTGTTGTCCATTGTTGTCATCATTCTTTGTTGAAATCAGGTCTCTCTTGTAAATGAGTCCTCGAGGCTCAATGGGATTTACCTGTCTAAATAAAGGTTGAATGAATGAATAAATTGAACAGGTGTTGGTCATAAAATTAGAATATCATGAAACATTGATTTATTTCAGTAATTCCATTCAAAAAGTTAAACTTGTATATTATATTAATTCATTACACACAGACCGATATATTTCAAATGGTTTTTTTTTAATGTTTATGATTATAACCGACAACTAATGAAAACCCCAAATTCGGTAACTCAGAAAATTAGATTATTATTTAAGACCAATTAAAAAAAAAGATTTTTAGAAATGTTGATCATGAAAATTATGAGCATGTACATCACTCAATACTTAGTTGAGGCTCCTTTTGTCTGGATTACTGCAGCAATGATGTGGCATTGAGTCGATCAGTCTGTGGCACTGCTCAGATGTTATGAGAGTCCAGGTTGCTCTGATAGTGGCCTTCAGCTCTTCTGAATTGTTGGGTCTGGTGTATCACGTCTTCCTCTTCACAATACACCACCGATTTTCTATGGGGTTAAGTTCAGGTGATGACCAATTAAGAACAGGGATACCATGGTCCTTAAACCAGGTACTAGTAGCTTGACTTCCAAAGGAAATGCAAAATGTACTTTCATCAGAGAACATAACTTTGGACCATTCAGGAGCAGTCCCAGGTGAGATGCTTCTGATGCCGTCTCTTGTTCAAGAATGGTGTGACACAAGGAATGCGACAGCTGAACCCCTAGTCTTGCATACGTCTGCACGTGGTGGTTCTTGCAACACTGACTCCAGCTGCAGTCCACCCTTTGTGAATCTTCCCAACATTTTGGAATGAGTTTTGTTTCACAATCATCTCCAGGGTGCGTTTATCCCTATTACTTGTATACTTTTTTCTACTAAATTGTTTCCTTCCCTTCATCTTTCTATTAATGTGCTTGGACACAGAGCTCTTTGAACAGCCAGTCTCTTTAGCAATGACCTTTTGTGTCTTGCCCTCCTTGTGCAAGGTGTCAATGGTCGTCTTTTGGACAACTGTCAAGTCAGCAGTCTTCCCCATGATTGTGTAACCTACAGAACTAGACTGAGACCATTTAAAGGTCTTTGCAGGTGTTTTGAGTTAATTAGCTGATTAGTGTGTGGCACCAGATCCCTTCAATATTGAACATTTTCATAATATTCTAATTTTCTGAGATACTGAATTTGTTTTTGTTTTTTTATTAGTTGACATTAAAAGAAATAAACATATGAAATATATCAGTCTGTGTGTAATGAATGAATATAATACACAAGTTGCACTTTTTGAATGGAATTATTGAAATAAATCAACTTTTTCCATGATATTCTAATTTTATGACTAGCATCTGTATACCTTGACGAAACGTGATTTTATTTAATTATAAATCACAGAAAACTATAATGTCATCTGAATCAAAATGAAGAAAATTGTCATTGAAGACCAACAAATACAGCCGCTGCATAAGAACAAATTCAGTCAAATTAAGCCCTAAGCTGATGTGCTTTTTGCTTTCAGAAATGTTACATCATTCACTATGACATCAAGTATTATACAGAAAATAATTGTATCAAAATATATTTGACATTTGGGGAGACTGTGTCTTAAAGAGATCAGTCCTCAGTTTTCAGCAGTTCATGCAATCCATCATTTAACAACCCTGAAGTAAAAAAAAGTCAAATTAAGAGGCCATCTTTTAGGATCTTACTTTAAACCCATGTATTTCTTTTGATATTATCTTTTTTTATTTATTTTTTATTTCCTCTGTCATTTTCCACATTAAAGTAGCATGATGGTAAAACATCCCACCAGTATACTGATCCAAGAGCAACAATCTGACACAAAGATCACAGATTCACTTTAGCATCTAAAACTGTTGAATAAAACAAATCTGGGGTCTGCATCAGAACTGGAGTAAACTGAAGTACCGGTAACTTTATTACATTAATAATATTCAATGTACTACTATCTGCCAGCTGTCAGTCAAACACAGTCACAGAGTAAAATAAGTATGGGAGTTGGCAGTATGGGAGAACTGCTGGTTTCAGGTCAGCAGGGTGGCCTGAGAGCCCTCAGACCAGATCCAGGTGGTGATTCAGAGCAGAACAGTCATACAGCTGTTGTCTCTGGATTCAGAAGATCGGCTCAAGGTCTGAGCTGATGCTAAGTAACGATCAGGAAGGCATCTGTCCACAGGACAACTTCATGACAGACAGTCCATAGACACACGTGTCCTGTGTGGATGGGTGTTGTCTTGTTGAAAGACAGAACCACGTCTTGTTGAAAGACAGAACCACTGTTTTGTGTCAGGAGGGTAAGACACTTGGATGTAAAATGTCCCTGACGTAGAGCTGTGCAATCAGGCTCTCAACAACCTGGCTCCATCTTATATTACAGATCTTATTGTTCCATATTTCCCTAACAGAGCACTTCGCTCTCAGATTGCAGGTTTACTTGTGGTTCCTAGAGTTTTCAAAAGCAGAATGGGAGGAAGACCTTTCAGTTACCATACCATACCACTTTATTTATAAAGCACTTAAAACAGCTACAAGGCCAACCAAAGTGCTGTACAGACAAAACAACAGGTAACACACAAAGCAAAATACAAAATGAGGTAAATCAGAATATAGACAAAAAACGATGCAATATTATCAGGCTCCTCTCTTGTGGAAATAACTTCCAGTTTCTGTCAATGAGGCTGACACATTGTCCAGTTTTAGACTGGGCCTAAGACTTTCCTTTTTGATAAATCCTATCGTTAGGGTCAGCTTAGTTTCCTCACCTAGCCCTTAGTTATGCGGTTATAGGCTTAGACTGCTGGAGGACAAACTGACCTCATCTCATCAAATTAATAATTTGCATTTGGATTATTTCTATCTTGACATGTGATTTTTATCTTTCCTCTTAGAGAAAATCCTGCTCGCCTCCATTCTCAACCTGCCATTGTGTATCCGTTCCTCCTTTCTATTCCTCTCACCCAGCCAGTCGAAGCAGATGGCCACTTGTCCTGCACCTGGTTCTGCTAAAGGTTTCTTTCTCATGAGGGACTTTCCACTGTCGCCTTCATGTTTGTTCAAGATGAGAGGCTGTGATCAAGTTAAACTCAAAGCAGTCTACTCCTCACATAAATAATGTTAAATTATAATTTTATATATGAATGTTTCTGTTCAGTGCCCTGGGATGAATTCCGTTGTGACTTGGCGCCATATAAATAAACTGAACTGAATCACAACCAGAAGAGGCCTAAATGAGACTTTGTGTCCCCCCACCAGCATGTTTCCAGGAGGAACAGTGGAGGATCAGCAGGATGGTGTTCTCCTCTCAGCACTGCCATACATGCTCCATACATGCTCCATCATGCTCCATACATGTTCCATACATGCTCCAGCTCCATGTAAACGGAATCCTTTACATTCCCATCACTGGTCTGTATGTGGACCAAGCTTCATCCAAACCGGTCCATTCCTTCTGAGTACCAAACTTATTTTTGTAATATGTGCAACAACACAATGCAGGTCAACACAATATGAAACTACACTTAAAATCATTTTCAGGTGTGATAGGCTGGAATAATTTTCTATATGCAGAAAACCATGCCTTCACATGCATTTGTGTTCTTTATTTTTTTTCTACTAACTGCATCTTCAAAAAAAATTTCCAGGTCCAAGTAGTTGAAAACTAACAAAAGCAAGAACAAAAATTGTGTCCTGCAAATGTTGGAAGCAGCTGAAACTGATCATGACTGCCATGTTTTCAGGTGGTTCCAGATTAACGGCAGACATCTTCAAACTGAACGACTGTCAACTCTGTCCCAGATCTGCATCAATAGGGTAAGACACTTCACCAAGGTCTAAGTCAAAATGTATGACCCAGAGGAAGACTAAAGGAAAAAAGGCCTTGGTCTAATCCTCTACAGTGGTATACAGTCATGTCAATCTAAAATGGAAACCAGTACTCACTGCACAGAGTTAATTATAAACTGAATGACATTAATTATCAAACATAGGCTAAATGCTGGCTGCTAAACTTGTTTTACAGAGCTCGTCATTTACCGAGTATGAGGTAAAAAATGAAGATATCACTTGTGATGTGCATGTAGTTCTCAAAACAGGAAGTGACTGGGAAAGAAGAGGAAGCTGCCCTATTTGATAACACGAAGTGGTATAGCTAAATATGACAAATGCACAATGTGCACACTCATAGCAATAACACGATAAGGGCTGACATTTTTTGCAGAAACCTCAAAGAACAGTTGTTTTAACACTCACAAAGCTTTACACAGTACATTTAAACAGAAGATGAGATCATGCACAAACAGCCCACGTTTGTGAAGAACACGGCCAAACGTGTGACACCAGAAGGTCGAAACAACCAGTTCTTATTTTTAGTACGGTCCAGTTTGCAGCTCAGTAATACTCAAATCATTACCATTATCACTAAAAATCATCTTTATTCTTTATGTATGATGAATATTTGAGTAACTACAACTTTGTGAGCGCATACAGCAAGGGTTAAAATGAAACTACCCTTATTATATATATAGACAGCATGCAGGAGACCAGAATACAATATGTACCAAGGAAACAAACTTACGTGGCATGATCCCTTGACTGACGAGCTCCTCTCGTGTGCGTCTCTGCTGAAGCTTGAGCTGGAGGACTGCATGAAGACGAAGGCGAGAAAAAAAACACAGAGGAGAAAGTCAGTGAGCTCTGAGCTCCATGGTCAGCAGTCCATCCACCACAGATACACAAACACACATAACTGCATGTAGGTGTTCAGAGGACATGGAGGACCTGCGCTCTCAGGCAACAAGTTCATCCTCCCGTTTCTCTTTATTCATTCTGTTTCAAGTCAAACAGAAGGCAGGTACAAAGTGGGAGTGAACAGACTACTACATACTTCCTGTTCTACTTAACCCCCCCCCCCCCCCCTTACCTAGAAAGTAGGAATGTCTGCAGAAAGAAAATGCATAATTCCTCAAAGAGTTCAAGAAAAAGAAATAGCAAAGGCCGGACAACAACATTATGATGAGCTGCTATGAAACAAGATGTGTTTTTATTTTGAAAAGTCCGTGCAGCTTTTGGGCCGAGTGCCCTACCATCTTAAAACAGGAAGTGTTTGTTACACAATACAGAAGTTTTGACAGATTCAGAGAATACAGAGCTTGGCAGGAGACCGTGTTAAATCTTTTATTCTTCCTAGAATTAAAGTGGTGGAGTAAAGAAAACCCAGCTCTGCTCAGAACAGTACCTTTTAGAGTGAAACTAGTCAAAGAGCTGCTCTGACTAACTTTAAATATTAACTGTATGAGATCAGGAGAACAGCTGAAGAGGATTGGGTAGTAGAGTTGCGATTTCTGGCCCAAGTCAGTCAAATAAATGTTGTTGCTAGATAGGTGTGAGAGTGAAGTTGACGAGCAATGGCTTTTTCAAGAACTTTGGAAATAAAGGGCAGATTAGCGATCGGACGAAGATTACTGAAGTTGGTAAAGTCAAGACCTGGTTTCTTGATGATGGGGGTGATGGCCGCAGATTTGAAAGCTGTGGGAACAATGCCAGAGGTTAGGGAGGAGTGGATGATGTTAGTGATGATGGGGAGCAGAGACGGGAGACAGGATTTAACAAGAACTGTGGGAAATGGATCAAGCTGACAGGATGAGGACTTAGACTTGCTGATAAAGTCAGCAGTGTCATCAGCAGAGGGGAGGGAGAAGACAGAGAAGGGGAGGGAGGGAGGGGGGAGTTCAACATAGAAGCTGGGGGCGGCATTAGGTCCAAGGTGTTTATGAATTGAAAGAATCTTTTCATTGAAATAAGACATCAGAGAGTTGCAAAATTCTGTGGAAACCATGTGAGAGGGTAATGAGTTAGGAGATGAGGCCGAACGGTTAAGGAGAGAGAACAAAGTCTTTGAATTGCCAACATTGGAACTGATGATGTCAGTGAAATAGCTGGATTAGCTTGAGAAATACTGTCCTTATACTGGATGACGTGGTTCGCATAGAGTTCCTTGTGAATTGAGAGACCGGATTTCTTGTAGAGTCGCTCCAACCTCCGACCTTTGGATTTCAGAGAACAGAGTTCTGGAGTGAACCAGGGTGCAGAGTTGGAGAAGGAGACAGACCGGGTTTTCAGAGGAGCGACAGAGTTAAGGATGTTGGTGAGGCTGTTATTGTAGAATGTGACAAGGTCATCTGGGTTAAAAGAATTGAAGGTGAAGATGGTATTATTAATACGAGACAAAAGAATGTCATGGTTGATATTCTTAATTTTACGGAAGGAAAGAGTGCGTTGAGGTTTCTCTGAAGAAAATTTAAGATTGACACTGAAAGAAATCATGAGGTGATCAGTAAATGGAAGTTCATCAGAAAAACAGTTAAGAGGAGAGAGTCCAGAGCAGCATAATAGGTCCAAAGTGTGGCCCTTTATGTAGGTTGGAAAGTTAATGAACTGCTGGAAGCCACAGCTGTCAAGGCAAGATGTGAAGTCTCTGGTGAGGGGGTTGTCGTCTTCATCCATATGATTGTTGAAGTTTCCAAGTAGAATAATGTTGGGTGAAAGAGCTGAGAGATGGGCGATTAGAGCAGCAAAGTCATTTATAAAAGAGTTGCTAATTTTGGGCAAACGATAGAAAGTGTCAACAACAGTGGGGGTAGGGCCGGAGATTAGACACACAGTGTGCTCAAAGGGGGAGAGGGAGGTGTGTGAACCGGCGTGAGCTTCCAGTTCTTGCGGTGAATTATCGCGAGACCTCCTCCGCGGCCGGACTCGCGGGATTTGGCGATGTAAACATACCCCGGTGGGGTAGATTCATTCAGATGAGAGTGAGACCAGATGGAATTATGGGGTTAGACTTGTGAGCGTGGAGTCTACGGCGGGAGCCACGGTGAATGTATCTCTGGCGAGGATGGAAGGCAATGTCCTGAAGAGGGAGCACAGGTGGCACGGCTGGTAGGAAACGAAGGCGAAGGAGTTCGACCGCTAAGTAATGGAGAAGACCAGACGCCGGGTGGTGGTGGATGAGCAGCTGGAGAGTCCAAAGCAGAGCAGGCAGCAGGTAAATCCTAATGAACCGCATGGCTAATATTGAGACGGATCATAGACTTGGTGTAGTGGAAAAGGCAGGACGGACTGAATAAAACAGAAAAAAGCAAAAAAGCACGACGAGCAGCGGCAGCCAGGATGCACCAGCGTTGGCTCACCGGAAGTGTACATGAACTATACATATATTTATTACACACACACACAGACACACACATATAT